TATATATATATATATATATATATATATAGTTTTGTTCTTAACTATACCCAGATATGAGCATGCGCTAGGAAAATTAGCCTGTTACACTGATGAATCCTTAGTAGACTATCCTGAACGTGATCTATTTCAAGGGCGCTACATTTAACCTTTTGTACTTAACATTGTTTAGTTGTTAATTACATAAAATGTAGACATTCGACATGAAAATACCCTGACAATCACCTGGGATTAAGACGCTAATAACAGTACCATTGCGTACTCTGTGGGGAATATTTATTGCTTTATTTGTCTATGATTATCAGTGCATATTTAGATCTGACAATCAAAGCAACATAACAAGATGATCAGTCAAAATAAATGCTGTATTTGCTTATAACTGAAAAATTATTAAAATCAGTTTACCAGGCAAGGTGTTAAGCATTGGTAATTTCATTTTTATATATGAAGAGGCAACAATGATAACTCTTATCACACAACCAAAATGAAGATTTTGTAGTTTTTCCAAAACTGACATTATGGTCAAAACAGTACAAGTGTGCTCCTGGAACTGCAATAGGTTTATAGGAAGCAACATGATGGGTATTCACAAACCAAGGAAGAATGAATTCACGTAAACTCTCTTTTTACTCTACCTTACAAAAATGAGATTTATCACTACATTGCCTCATCTTCATATACAGATAAATATTGCAAAGAAGAAAAGAATCAATGAAACACGAAATTTCAATAGTTTTATTTTCTAAATTGATGGACTGAGTTCATAAGGTAACATTAAAGGTACGGTTAGCCCACCAATTGTATTTACATAAACAATCTAGAGATATAAAAATAATATATTAACAAGTACATGTACGTTATGTAATTATCATTTGTGAAAATTTACAATTATTTATTTTTTATATATGAGTATGTATTAATGGTTCTTTCACTCACTGGCCAAAAGTTGGTCCCAAACTTAAAATATTTAACATATATGGAAAAATCTTGTATCAACACCTTTCTCTCTTCAAGATGCAGCAATTTACTTCAATTACTAAAGTAATGCATCTGGTAATTCATTCCTGTAAGGAAAACTTGATTGTGTTCCTGGTGACTGCACAGAAATAGTGGCAACAGAGCATGCTCTATGAACTATCTCCTTCAAGGAAAGTTGTGGATGGTAGGCCATATAATATGCCATTGCACCTAGGAAAGCATCACCAGCACCCTACAAAATAATGAAAGAAAAGAATTGTATAAAGGATTTTTTTTTTAACCCGGGAGTGCCTGCAATGGTAGACTCATGCCAGTGCCCACAATGTATCTCTAGATATAGCTGCAACGTTTTGTGAATGTGAATGATCTGAAGCTCTAATTACTGAAATATGTATTTTATTTAGTTTGTACAGGTCCCCCAATGCAATTGTTAATGAATCCTACACTGCAGAAACCTTGTCTGAATACTTATGGTGAGAAAGGTAAAATTAGACTAAGTACACACAAACCTCAGGACACATTTTATCATCTTATTAAATGATATTAAATACAATTTCCACAAATGATTTTGGGATGTTCTGAACATTTTGCACAAAAATATGTAGAAAGTCTGTTTGTTTGTTTTTTTCTAATTTTCTAGGTTTGCATTTCTTTTCATTTCCCTGCAAACATCTCCTGCACATCGTTCTCTTTGGGAAGAAGTTGTGACAATTGATTCTAGATGAGACAAATGATTTCATTTTTTGAAGGCTTTTGTCATAGCCATGGCTGAAAGTAATGCCATGATATGTACCACTTACACCAGGAGCTTACAATGCACTTGCGCCACTGAATACAATGTATCTAACAGATATTGTGTAGTGCAGCAATCAAGTTCCAACATGCTCACAGGAAATGATTCAGCAAAAGGATAAAAATAGAAGGCCAGGCATTCTCAAAAAAGTACAATGAACAAATACATGAAATATTACAACTAATGCATCACATTGCAACAATTGGCATGATTTGGATCTCACAGATTGTAGGTACTCCCAGGTTAACAAAATACATATATTTCATTTTCTTAAAACTAATTAATAATATATTTTAATGTTGTAATTAACTACCACCAAATATCTAAAAACTGAGAGTTAATACTCTTCATTGGAAACACAAGAAAATAAAAATGATTATTCGATTTTGTGGTAAATACTTCCCTTTACCATTTACTTTCTCGAATACTACTAAGTAGTATAGAGAAGTACTGTAAAGCTACAGGAAATAGTGATAATTTTTCTACAAAAATATTCAGGACACTGATTCTGAAAATGTTGCATTTTTGCTCCCATATATACAAAATGACTTTCTCGAATAAATAGTGTAATCACTATCTGCATTTTAAGGGACCTTGATGTTCAAGATTTTTTCAAAAATAGTTACAAATGTTTTGAAAGGAGCAAAATATACTTGTAATCATGGCAATGGTCTGATTTTCTTAAAAACTTATAAATTTTAAGAAATTGTGAAAGTTAAAAATTTTGTTGACCCATTTCACTAACTACATTAAAGAGAATTTTCTTTCTTAATGAAATCAAGAACTTCAAACACAGACCTTTCAAGAATGTTAAGTGCAATTTTTATAAATAGCAACACTGCAACTAGTGGCTGCATGAATATCATTGTTAGGGTGGGATGGTTGTTGCTTTTTACAATACTGGTTTGATTGTTGAATTTGTGTTGATTTGCTTTTAAAGTTTTAGTTTGATAATAAACAACATTTCTATAGTCTACAGATTTAATATTTAAAAAATAAAAGATGATGGGTTGGTAAACTTATTTTCAACCACTTCTAAAAAGATGTATATTGGATGACATTTTGGCTCTGGAAGTTTCATTGATTGATGTTATCCTCGAGAAGATTCGATCGCTGATTATGGTATAATCATTTAATAGTTGGGAGTTTTCTTCACTGTAACCAAGGCAAGCTTGTGTGAAGTTGTGCTTACTAGTCTCATTTGTGTGTAGGTGGGAAGGAAATGGTTACTGTTCCTGGCTGCCAAAATAACTACCATGCTTGAATCGCACACACTCCATTTGTTTAGTAGGTTTTTCAACTGATAACTGAAGTAGTTCAGAAATTGCTACTTTATAATCCTAAGTAACTTACAAATAATACAAGAAAGTATGGACTGTTATAGTGCCACTAGTTTTAAATTATCAAATGGTTATGTATTAAAACTTAATTTCAGTCTTCAGATATTCACAGATGCTTGGCATTTTTAAATCTTATCCCCTGATATAGTGGTTTAATTGGTAATCCCCCAAGATGACCATGGTATCTAAAAAACATGACAACTTAATTAAGCATGTACTTACTGTAGTATCCACAGGTTGCACCTTTTTAACAGGAATGTGGTAAGGTGTTGGGTCTTCTTGAGTTGAGAGTATAGCACCTTGGCTTCCAAGAGTTATCACAACTGCTGAGCAACCAAGATCACGAAACTTCTCAGCAGCTTTATAGCCATCTTCTATGGATTTTACAGGAATTTTTAACAATTCTTCAGCCTAGAAAGGAAATAATTAAAGAAGTTCATATTTGGAACAGGACTTTAAATCTGATCATCCACTCTATAATAATTATACTCACTTCAGTCTCATTGATACAGAAAATATCTGATTCAGTAAAAAGGGCAGTGTCTTTTAATACTGCTGGGGCAGCATTCACTATTCTCTTCCCTGTATGTCCAAAAAATGCAATTTCGTAAACAGTATGTTGCAAACAAAAACATAATTTCATGCTTATAAAATAAATCTATGTGTAAGAATTAAAAATTAATTAAACATCTGTAATTTTCAAAAATTCATATTTGAATGAAAATCATACTCTAACCACATTATTAAGTCTCAGCATCAACCATCCCAAAAATGTGTGATTCCATCAGCAACTTCAAATTGTTTATTAAATGATCACATATTGTCTTCTACATTACTTATACAAGAAAATGAAATTAATTTTAAATATTATATTGTAGCAAAATTATAGAATATTAGGGGTTTTGCTTTTGTCTTTGTTACTTTAAGTAAATTACATTCATGATCAAAAGGTACCTTATTTACATCGCAAACCACCAACCTTTCCCTTTAGCCAATTTCAGAGCAGCCAAAGTAGCTTCAACTGGAGTCTCAAGCTGAAATAACAGAACTTTAGCTGCTTCAATCGTCTCCTTAGCTAATTGGACATCCTCTACACACAGATTTCTATTGGCTCCCGGGACAATAACAATTTGATTTTCACCTGTAAGAAAATGTACGAACTAATGTAACAATTAATTGTAACACTAAAAAGAAAATTAAGGGATTGCAAAGAATGAACATTATTTCACTTTCTGCAGCACATACATTTTATAAATTCACAATTGTGCACTATCATAGTTTTTACTTTGAAAACTTTATTTATATAAAAATCAATTCATTGACTTACAGATGTTATAAACTGAGAAGTGTGTATCTTTTGCAATTTTTGAGTGAATTTGTGCTTAAGAATGCTTCCATTAGACCATATATCTTTTTGAATGAATTTTTTTCACAGCAAAACATAAATATTCTACATTCAAAAGTAGTAGTGCAGATCACTGAACACATCAACTGTTATTTTTCTTGGGGAAAAGAAATCGTAAAATAATATTTACATGTTCCACAATTAAAATACCACATGATTCAATCTTAACCATCATCCATCTTATCTAGTAATGATAATATAATCACTATAATATGATGTATGCAGGCATGCATACATCATATAAAATGTATGATGTATGCACATGTCCTCCTGAGCTCCAGATTTGCTACTTTCTCTTACTACTTACTATTATGAGTAAAGATAGAAAGCAGCATTTTAATATAAAAATATAGTTCACCACCATGTGACAAAACTGCAAGCAACATTCAATTTTGATTTTGCTAACAAATAATTAACCTTTCGCTTGTCTCGTGTCTATCAAAAGGGAGCTCAAGAAAACTTGGGCAGAGTAAAGTTACATTGACTGTCCAGAAATCAATGCAAGGGGGCCATCTCAGCATTTGCTCTAAGGATAAAGGCCAACTGGACAAAAACCCAGATTGAGTTAGTAGCATATGTGGAAATTGAAGCTTCTTTCTTCATCATACGTCATGTGTGTCACAAGTACACTACACATGAGAATATAACCTCAGGTATTGGAAACTGTGAATTAACATAATTAAATATTTGCAATTTTCAAGCAGAATCAAAATTATTTTATGTTTTAGTATTTTTCTAGATTTCCTGGATGTGTAACAAAATGACTGACCCCTCTCATTTGCCCAGAGTCTGCTTAGTTTATCATCAATTTATGTGTATATTTGAAATTAGTAATATAGATACTGTTGTGCCTACAAATAGTAATCTCACATACCACACTCTGCCACAACAATTTGTGCCATACCAGTGTGCATTTCTTTTGTGATTGACACATAACCAGTTTGTACACCTTCTTTATTTAGAGCTTTCAGGTATTCATGGCCAAACGAATCATCCCCTAACTGAAAAATACAAAAATTGGGAGTTCAAATTAGATAATTCCTTATATGTAAAAGAAGAGATTGAAATAGAACTGCATAGATTTGCAACATCATACGTGAACCTTGTATTTTGATGCTCTACAAGATCTTTAGGTATTATCTACAAAAGAAACACATTCAAAACAGAGTTCTGAACAAAATAATGCCATTTTACTGACAGTGTTGTTATGAACAAAATCAGTCTCAGTTTATAGTTATTAGCTCTGAAAGTTTGAATGATTTTGATAAAAGAACCATTGTCAGGAATCTTTTTTAGTTAAAGAAACCATAGTCCTTAAAATGTAAGGTTTTTCTGTGATTATTTCTCAAGAATAACTAATCACAATCTGCAACGGCTGATAATGATTGATTGTGAATGTGGTTATTCTGCACAACCAGTAGTTTTGTTCTGTAAGTTTGGTGATAGTGTATAACCAGTTCTTTGGCATGTATGTCCTTTGTGTTATGAATCTGAGCAAGGGAGAAAGAAACAGCTAAAAAATGGATTCTATGTCCGATATTAGAAAGAACATAGGAGAAGAGATTTAAACAAAGAAAAAAAAAGGAAAGTGGAGTGTTAGTAACAGCAAGAAGGTTAAAGGAGAAGCACATTTTAATCAGAAAGGAATCTTCAGAAGTCTAAATATTTTCAGTTTACTGCAAACAGAAATTTGTATCTATATTTGTCATTAGTGGCAGATGCCTAATGCAAAACAAAAACACTGATAATGATGATAACAGGCATTGGTTTAAGCATTCAATAATATTCCAAATTGATTCAGAGCATTAATTTCTTGCATTATTCGTTTAAATATTGTAAGTGCGTAATATAATTTTTGATATACATATTTCTCTTCTTTTTTTTTTTAAACCATCATAGTCCATATATACCCCACTTTATCCAATAACTTTCACAATACATTCAAGTTGGAACTACACTCAAGCGTTCATTTAGTATTTACAATAGCTAGAGAAAGTGCACAAAATTTTCATGCTTCATATGTCTACCAATTTCACCATGAAAAGTTTTTTCGCTCGCCTGGAAAATTGTTTTTGGCTATGGTTGTTTATGTTTTTTCAATAAAAATCACATTAATTATGGAAATATATTACAAGCAAAAAGTAAATGCTATGAAATAAAATCAACCATATGATCCCTCATAACAGTACTTCTTTAAACTAGAATGGAGAAGCTACATCATTTTACACTACAACATCTTAAGGATGAGTTTTTTCATTTCAATAAAAATTTGCCTAACATATTGTTTAATAGCTGATTTACCCCATTACACCCAGGTATTTATTTATCACAATCACATATTGTACAGGTGTGCACAACCTAAATTGAGAGGGGGTTGAACTGTATTTGTCAGCCCCTTTACCCATTTATCTTCTTTTACAATATGACACATTACTTGTACAATTTTCAGGATATTTTTGAATTTTAAATTTTTTGGTAGGAGGGATCAACTTTGCCCTTGAACTAACTTTTTCGTGATTTGACATTTTCAGCAAGTTTCTGCCAGTTTTTTAATTTCTTTCTCATATTCAGGGACTTTAAACTGGTCTCCTTTCAAGAGAACATTGGAAAGTTGCTTCACATGCCTCTAATTCTTCCATTAAACTCTAGTGCACCATGGACAATTTCCAACTTTTTCAGTTTTTAAAAATATAAGAAAGTTTTCATGTGCTTCATTTCATGTTTTTTGTAGTGCATTTAAAACAATTTAATAAATTGTATTCAATGACATCTCAACGTAACGCAAGTTATATTTTATGAAAATGAAATTGCGTACATTGACTACCTGCAATTCATAAATGTCAACATACAATTTCAAGTAACACAGTTTCGAAGGTACAATATCAATATTGAAAATATAAAGTGTATTCAAAACAGGAAATTATTTTGCAATTGTTGGCATATACTTTTGTAAAAATTAAAAAAGTTATAAACAAAGAAAAATAATTTTAATTGTTTAAAAATAGTGAGTAAACAAGTTAATGACTACAACACTTGTTAATATTAGTCATTTGAATTCAAATTTGATCTCCCTACACAACATTAATTCGTACTCAAACATATAAATACAGTAAGAAGATAGACTGGTTCTTCTGTTTCTCATTATCACTGAACATTTTAAAATCTTTAAGTCATTTTTATTTGGGATTTAACATATTGTTGGAAATAAAATGTTTTACTACAAAAAGTTACAGAACATCTTTAAAAATGTTCAGGGTGGTCATGCCCCCTCCCCACCCAAGCACAAGCCTTAACCTTTTACTTTATGAAGTGGAGGGGTATCATTTGAACTTCCCACTTTGGGTTTCATCATTGGATACATGGTATGCCTGTACATTTGCATGCCAGCTCCTCATAAACATTAAGCATACTATGTAAGTATTTTATGATTTGATTGAAACTTGTATGATGAAAGTGAGTGTTCATTACTTCATGTAGAGGTAGAACATTCCTTTCATCCACTTAAAATCCATTTTGAGACCTACTGGCAACAGTTTTTGTTTGGAAATTTAAATATGTTTTTTAGGGAGTAATTTTAACACAAACATGAATTTTTATTTTACATATTTTCTATTGTTTCTTACATATTTTGGAAAACATAAAATTCATATTTATGTACAGATTTTGCTTTTTTTCTTTATAAATTTCGTTCCCAAGTTACGATAGAGGAAGGCATAATTCTTCGTGATGAGTCATCACTGCCAGCAATATTTCCAGAAATCTTTTTATTTCATGGCAGTGCCTCGCATGAATGACTCAAGATAGTACATGATTCATCTTTGCAACTGACAATGTTCCGTAGGGAAAGATGCATGAACATTGCAGCCACTGAAGGAGAAACACAAGAGTGTGTTTCCTCCTTATGGGAGTAAAGCAAGTTGATTCATCTGATAGATTACACAAGTCTCTTCTTGCTCAGTGGCATTTCAGAACATAGTGGTTTGTCTCCGAGCTTCAATGTGGTTGTGCAGCTGTGTGGTTTTTGGTTTGTGTATGGTTCAAGAGTGATTCAGGAGGGAAGGAGGCTTCAAAACAAAAATGTTTAATCTTCTGAATTATTTAGCAAGTTAGATACGAAATACACTTTCCTATTCCCAACATAAAATATTTTAAATACTAAATTAATTCAATTATAAACAATTATCACGAAGTTTGCTTTTTGCATCAATTAAAAAGAGAAAGTTTACTGTCAAACATTCCATAATTTATATTTTTAAAATCATGATACAACCAAACTGATGTATCCTTCATCATAGCCCATCAGAAGTTACTAAAATTCATTAAATCCAATAATTTTAACTGAAATAATAAAATGTTCAAAATCCACTATTGTTGCTATTATTTTATTATTATTATTATTATTATTATTATTATTATTATTATTATGATAGTAGTAGAAGTATTATTACTGTTATTAAAATTGGGAGCAGAATGCACTTGGAATTTACTACACTTGGAACCCTAATTAATGGGGTGCCTAATATATCTTTTTTCTTTCAGCAAAAAAAAATTTGTGCATCAAATTCATTTACTGGAGTATCAAATACTAATACATCTAAATAGTACATACCAATTCCATTTCCTTTCTCAAATATTACTTACAAACTTTATAAAATTATATTTTTAAAAGAGGTCTAAATCTTAAATAAACGTAAAGATTAAGGAAACAATTTTTAAATATATGTCAATAATTAAATAATTTTTGGGTAATTTTTAACATACTCTGGCAATAAGAGCAGTCTCTGCTCCAAGTCTTGCAGCAGCTACACATTGATTTGCACCTTTTCCACCAAAGCCTTGCTGAAATTTTCTTCCAGTCAAAGTTTCTCCTGCACGAGGTAGCCTAGGAGCATAACTGGAAAAGGAATTAACCAATAAGGGAAATTAAGATACTTATCTACCTCAACATTATGTTTTTCCCTGAAACATTTGAATTTTGGTTTTTGATTATTTTTCCCTACGTCCCGGAATGAACTTAATGAAATGTTCAGGGGGGTTCGTATCTGTAAAATAATAAATACATTTTCATTTGTATAAAAATGTACTGTATCATAATTACCGCTGTGTTGTCTGTGTTTGCACAACTGGAGGGCATTTTTTCGGAGAAGGGCCCAGCCGTACCTAAATCCGTGCTGCGTTAAAAGAGGGTGGTCGTGCCACTCGAATTTCCGGTCTCCCGAGAAGTTCCATTTATTTAGGTCTGTGTTACACGAGCGATAAGAAACTCCCATGAGCGCATGTGTGCCGTTTCGCATAAGATAGATTGTTAATCTACGACGCGCGTCAACGCAACGCTGGTGTAACATAAGCCTTTGGAAACCTCTCGGTCACAAACACCGACCCCAGTACCCCTGGATCCTTCCGCCACTGAATCACATCAAGGTACGGATCAAGTGCATCCTTTCCTTCATAGAAGACCTTTCTTGCACGCGAAGCGTCGCCCCTCTGTTGGTCCACGTTCCATGCGTTCCTTACCATTTTCTAAGTCTTCAAACTGATGCAATAAAGGAAAGAAGGACATAAGCTACTAATTGAGCTATTGAGCATTTGGGAAAATAAAAATCAGAGTTAATGTTTACCCAAACATTTCATAACTGAAGCAACATTTAATTAAATACAGCATTAATTAGATCCTGGATGTCGTATCTGAAAATCCGTGTGGGTCATTTGCATGTCCTATAACTAAAATGACGGCTGGATACGAACGTAATATTTTTCACGAGCACGAGAAATGAAGGATATAATTCGATGACAGCAATGGATATTTAATGTCAAGACAAGGACTACCCATTGAAAACAGTATTTCAAACAGTCTCAAAAAGATAACACATTGAGTGCGGGCCACAGCAACCAAAGTTACTGAGAACGCGTAGAATGAGGATTTATATTAGGGACGACAAATTTAGGCATCTCAAGGGAATTTTCGTCGCTCCCTCTCATTTCTGCACGCTAACACTAAATGTCAAGCTTTGGGGTCTGCATACGGAAGGGGAAAATCACGGGGCACAGGCTGTCGGGAGCAGAGAGTATGGGCAAATACTATGTAGCCTCTATAGTATTTGGTATCGGTAGAGGCGAACATGATCCTTCTCAATAAAAGTCCCCACGGTACAACATTAACTCGACTTTGTTATAACAATGAAAACTTGGATAGTCATCATAGTTACAACTTCATTCTTGATTCTCAAACTTCCTAACCGCGGCCCAGGTGAACAAAAGTCAAATCGTCCATCGGAATATTTATGTGGTATCTCTCGAAAAGCACTACGCCGAAATTCAATTTACATAATCATTATGAACGAGAGGAACTTCGAAAACAGTGAACAATGTAATCATTTTGACGAAATCTAACACTACTGTGCAAAATAAACCTTTCATAATTACAATAGTACATTAGTCCAAACCACATCAATCTAAAGTTAAGATTAATCTAAAACTCATATATCAAACACTGTGCCACCCTGGATGAATATAGTAGCGCCATAGGTCCATGGTGATACCCTCAAGAACGTCCTCAAGGGCACCAAATTTAGGTACACCACATAGTTACTGACATAAAAATGTAAAATCACAAACACAAAGGAAGATTGAATACTAAAAGTGAGGGACATTTTATTTTTCTTTATTTGTAGCCAATACAATACATTTTTAATCCATCCTATTTTCGTTTCACAAGGGGAGAACAATGGGTTTTTCTGCTATATTTTATTAAGAAAATAAACATGCAGAAAATTACCATACAATCTGTTTTCATTGAATGCAAAATTATGTTGAATTTATTCACATAATAGAACAGTCTTTAAAATGGCGAATTGATGTTTTCAATTATTTTAAAATCTCAAAACATTAATTTCACCAACCTTTCAATTTTGATCAACTATTAATAATTAATTATTACTATTTTGAGATGTACTTTTATTATCTAATTATTTGATGAAACAGAAAGAATTATATTGGTAACCACACTGGGACATAATTCTACCTACAATATTTTTTTTCATTTATCAAAGATAGTTCAGCAAGAAATAAAGCATAAACTCAAAGAAATTAAGTGTCGGCTCAATCACTGCCAGGACTTTAAGCAAATATTAAGGAAGAATTTGGAGGATGAGTCATTGCAAAATAAATCCCATATATCTAGCTTTAAAAAATGAACAAAAATTTGAAGACAATTCTTAAATTGATTATCTAACATTATCAAGTTCCGAAAGTGATTAGGGACTGTTTTCTTCTTCACAACAAGGGTACAAAGCACCACTTATGTTTTTTCCTACTGAAGCAATTTCAAGGTGATATGTTTGATAACATCCTTTTAAATTTTGAAGCAATGACACCATACATTACATTACCATTAGTGACTAATATAATCTGCACTATAATTGTATAAGAAATTTTAAAAACTGGTAATAGTGGGATCAAAAAAATGCTTTAAAAATATTTTTTTAAGGCAAATGAATCAATTCCAAAACTTTATGTTAAACAAATACAAAAATGTAATCATTCGAACATCTATTTTGTAAACATTTAAAATATTTGAGCAACATATTGCATCAGAAAAACACTGTAAGCATGTGTGATAAATGAGATTTTATATTAATTCTGATTAAAAGTCTCTTCTAAAATGTCTCTTTTTCATAATCCTTCCATACTTCCATCACCTAGGACCAATTTCTCAACAGCTAAGTGATATTCCACCTGAAGGTCAGTTACACGAACCAATTGCTTTCATACATGGGTATCTAATTGCAAATTATTTTCTTCCAGTTCTAGAGGTAAGATTGCAATACATTTGTAAAACTTACCAACATTTGTAAGAATTGCTGAACTTATACCTAATTTCTATGAAAGAGAGGATGTCTGAATTATAAGGATATTGAACACCTATTATCGTTCTGAACATTGATGGTGAAAATCAAAACATATGGCAACAAAACAATAAGGAACAAAACATAATGCAACTAAAATTATCTACAAATTATTGTAACTCAAATATTTCCCCCAAATACAATTAAATAATTTTGAGTGCTTTTCAATGTTCACAATTATTTGAACAAATTGCATATCTTCTCATACATAACTTCAGACAACAGTATTGAGGAGTGTTCTGCCCTCAAATTTGTCATCAGAAAGTTATTTCGAATTTACACTTCAAAGTTAACTTATTTTGATAGGCCCTACATTTATTTCTACAATAATACGTATGAAACGTAGTAATTAAATAACTTGTAAGCAATTTTAAAGCAATCACCTAATGTAAAATACACGCACGTGTCTAAAATATATTTTTAACAATAATTATTACGCATCCAATTCGCTTATGTAAGTTTATTTTCCTTATGTTACACTTTTTCTTCAATTCTCACCTCACGAGATCTATCATACACGAACCAACAACAACTACACGTGGTTTTGAAACCTCCATTTTCGTTCTTTTCCAGAGCTGACGAAAAAACGCACTCGCTGGAGCTGCCACAATCTTATACAAGGGCGAAAATATGTTTGTAGTGATTGCTCATTCATATATCAGGAGCATATCGCATGATTACAACAAAATGACAGGGACTACTGATAAGGTCGTAATGTCACATTCTACATAATTTTCACTTGTTATCGCGTGGTATTAGATAACAGCTCATCCCTCGACATACCGCAATGATCCGAATACGACCAAAATAGATCGAGTTGCTCATGCACACTAGTGCACTAGGAGTGAAACAGGACTAATTACAGTGTTAATTCCCGAAAGGTTTGCGTCTTGTCTGTGTAATGCGCAGTAGTTGGTGACGAGTGCGTGTTAAATTTCGTGAGCTTGTACAAAGCCTGTATCATTGAAAGGGTCTTTCACTTCTCCACTTAATCAAGAACAGATCAAGGTGTTACGTGGATCGGATTCTCTCACACCGTGACTGTCTCCCATCGATACACAAAAAAGACAGCTTGTATTATGTGTCTATGCTGTGCGTGCCCTTAACGCAACGAGTCGATTCCGAATTCGCGAAATCGGTGAACGAAAGCGAAGAACGAGTGTAGGGAACGAATGTTTTGTGTGCGAATACATAAATCATCCATGATTCTGCCCAACGAATACTCACCTACACTAGCGGCTAAACCGTTCAACCGATTTTCTGCAACATTGATATTTCTCTATCGATCTGGCGGATGACACAGCTCCTTGAATCTGAAATCTAATGAGGGGTACTTTGCATGAAGCCTTTGGGACATTTTCAAAATTTTTAAATTAATAGCTCCAACGTTTTTTATTAAACTTTGTTATTGTATTGTGTGAAGAAAAATGAAGAGAATAGAGCAGGTCTTCTGTTCGTTTAAAACCTGGTTTTTCGAAAATTACGAAAGTTCAAACTTTTTTGGCGTCTTTCCACAAATACAATATTAAAAATAAATATTTTTCTCTTAATGAAATATGTTCCTTAAAGATAGATTTTGAAATAAGATCACGTACAAATTTTCGGAAATTTCAGTGCTTTTGGCGTAATTTTGCGTGAAATATAAGCAGTTTTTAATTTTGTTTAAGCATTTTTTCTCAAAAATCTCACCAACAATTTTGAAGAAATTTGTTTGACGTCTAGAACTCTTAAGAGAATGTTGTATGTCTCATGTTAATTGAAAATTCCAATTTTTGAAAATTGCAAAAACTCAAAAATTTTCAGCGCCTTCCTACAACTACAATAATGAAGATAAACTTTCTTTTCTTAATGAAATGTGTTCATCAGAAACATAATTTTAAATCATGTCTTTTTTTCGAAAATATTAGTATTTTTGCGAAATTTTGTGTTAAACATTTAAAACAGCAAATTTTCTTTAAACCATTTTCTCTTAAAAATGACTCACATTTTTTTTATTAAATTTACACAGTAGATAGAGTATTGGATGCTTAAGAGAATGGTGCAAGTGTCATGTTCGTTGAAATGCTTGATATTCTTTTTTAATTTAAAAAAAAAATCAGCATCTTCCTTCAACTACAATTGTGGAGGTACATTTTTTTGTTGTCGTGAAATGCGTTTATCAAAACAGATCTTCAGTTAAGGTCACGTTGAATTTTTCAAAAACATGAGTATTTTTGTGTAAGTTCCTGACAAAAATAATCGCCCGCTCCGTGCGGTCATGCTTCGTGAACGTAATAGACATAGGTAAAAGACAATGGTAATAGAGGTGATTCCAGGTAGTTGGATGCTCCGTAAGTTAGAATTTGTACATTATTTCATATTTCTTTGTTCGTTTCTTCCATTCCACCTTTTGTAATATGATTACAAATTAATATTTTAGAAGTTATTTAAAAGCTATTTGAAATATATGAAAGAAAAATCGCAAGCTATAAAGGAATATCATGTTGGAATACAGCAAAGGCCTTCCCCGCGGCCAGACAGCAGCTGAATTTCTGTGAATTGCATCTCATTGTTGGGACATGATTTAGCGGTAGGAAAAGCAGTTATGATGGTCAAATTTGTGTTGATATTTGCTCAAAAATATTTAGTTTTTGCATGAAATATTCTACGATTTGTAACTAGTTTTACAAAAAATGATGGCTGAGATGTGTTGATCCGCAGAGAATTTGAGGTATAAATAGTGTTATATAACCATTACTAAGAGCGAGAAGGTCGGTATTACAAAGAAGCCGATCGGTTCCCATCGGCTAGCGTAGTTTTCCTCAATCAGATATCTCCCACCAGCGGGGCACCGCCTCAGCCGGGACAAGCTCTAAGCCCCCGGCCGGTCTCCCTGCTTATATAGTAATGTAGTGCATTTAAGCGTAAGTGTGTGTAAGGGTGAGGAAGGGCAAGGAAGAGGGAGGAAAGATTGCGCGCAGCCATGGCTCGATTGTTAGGGTACTACTCCGACATTCGTTTGGTGTTGATCGGAGAAACCACGGAAAACGACCTATCTGGGCAGCTGGTTGCTAGAATTCTTCTCAAGACAGCGGCTGATTTGGACCTAGTTAGTGTCAAAAATTCTGCCAACGCAGAAACCCGAACCCTAGGACCTGCCGGTCAGAGAAACTGCAGTGACGTCAGTTGATGGCCTGAGCCACCTCAGCCGGTGATTGAAACCTCGCCTGCAGTACAAGTGCGAATTATTCTCTTCTCATTGATTTGCAGTTGAGAAAAAATGTTATGTGGTTATGGTTCATAAGAGTAACTATGAATGGCACAAATATGCTTATTATGAATACCAAATAAAATATTTAAAAGCTAATCTTTTTTTAGCGCAAACATACTGCAAATGACATGAGCAGCCACCGTTTGGACACGATACAAAATATATTTTGTCGTTTATTGTACTGAGGTAATATAAATTTAAAGTACATCAAGATATAAAAGTTTGACAAACACCACAAAGAATCTTTAAAAAAAAGACGCTTACAACAATTTGTTACCATTACAAAAAATTTAAAATCAAATTATTCGAATTCTTTAATTCTAGATTAGAATTATCAAATCATCTCAGTAAATCAACATCACGAATTATAATTATTTCAGATTGACAGAGAAAAGATTGTGCATCAACAATTCTCTTTTTAAAAGCGCTGGTAGCTTGGTAGCGTCAAGCTGATATTTTCTAACTGCATGCAAACATATACTGCGCAAACTAGGGAGAAGATCTAGCACGTATGCTTTCTTGTTTTTCAAAGAAAAGAACACTGCTGTATTTTCAACAAGACATATCATATCCAAGTAGTCAGGGGGTGTTAATCCTTTGAACCACACTTGTTTCCAGTTATTCTGGGCAAAGGAATACCTCAACGCGACCTCATTCAGTGTTATATTACCAAATTTCTCTCGGAGGTCAATATCGTCAACCCGTTCGTCGTTAAGAACAAAATATAAGTCATCACGGTAAATAAATGTCATCCACAGCCTCTTCGCAAATACTGTAGTAGCAGGAAGTTGCAGCCTCTCCCATGTTTCGGTGGCCAAATCAAAGTGCATTATGGCGTAATCATGGGTCTTGTAGTAATAATTTAGGCATTCGAACAGCACATAAAGTCGGTTCTTATACAGGTAAATGCATCGTGGGGTGAGGTCTTTGTCGGGCTTCCGAGTGGCCACAATCTTCCAATGCAAGTTCCTCAAATCCAATGCCCAGAGATAAGTTGCATCGCTGGAAATGAAATTTTCAGCATACATGTACACGAATCCATCATCCTCACACGTACACAGCCCCGTCCACATGTACCCGTAGCCTGAAGGCACGTCGCCAGTCGTGGTCGCACAGCTCCACTGCAAAGTCCGCGTGTCGAAGGCGTGAATTTGGCCTCCCTTCAGGGTTTTAAATTCTCCAACGCACACGTACACCTTCCCCTTGTGCGCCTTGGCGAAATGCACCACCTGGCCTTTCGGGGCCCAAACAGCCTCCTTGCTTCCCTCTTTCCGGCACGAGGGATTGATGACACTGCAGGTGTGGGATTTTGGATGGAAGATGACGACCTGAATGACGTCCTCTTCACACGTTTTGTTGTAGCCAAACATGAAGACCTGGTCATCCACTGTCACTGCATGGGTTTGGCGATTGCAAGACCAATCATTGATCGGTAGATCACTCATACAGTCGGTCCACGCCATCTCTGGATGTGGATCAATCTTGGTGTTTCTGGAAAGAACGGGATACATGCGAAATTGAACTACGCATCAAGTCTAAAAAAAAAACTATCCTCTAAAGATAACCTACAGATTGTCTGATGTTTCTATTATAGGTGGATCCCACAATTACTTTTTTCTTTGTTTTATTTCTAGACATTTGTGAACCTGAAGAAGTGGACGCATCGTGCTATGAAACATTCAATTTTGTATCTAACAATTGTTCATATAAAAAAGCTATCATCTAAAATTATTTTTATTGTCGTTAATTAATTGTGGGAACCATATAAAATTATTTCAAGTAAAACTCAGCAAAAAAACTATACTTAATAGAATCCAGTTCATGAGGCATCATTTTTGACTAGTAAAACTTTGGCGACAATCAAAGGATTTACTTTCTAAAAAATATAAAGATACAGTAATTCCACTTACACACAATCTTAAACAAATCTACACAATAAAAATAAGTAAAAAATTCCCGATAAGGATAAAAGAATGTGCGAGTGAGTGTCGTGGTCATACACTGAACTGTACAAATGGTGCTATGAATTTTATCAGTTTCATCTTTGATTTCGACTTCGACATAATTACATATTGATAAAAACAGCATAACGGAAATTAAATGCTTTCATGAATTATCGTAAACTGTATTTGACACACGAATTGACCATCGGACTTCTCCGGATTGTAATTCACCTAGTGTGGACAGTCCAGCTTATTCAACTAGATAACTGTTTCGCTAATGACAACCCTATAACTCAAACCAAAGACGATAGTTGGATTTAAATAGTCAGTTGACGTAAATCAGCTGTTGCAGTGTCATCCAATCGGGAGCTTAACGTCACCATGGTGACGACGCCGTAATGACGTTTAAGCTCCCGATTGGATGACACTGCAGCAGGTGACAAATGAAGCTCTAAATAAAAGATACTGCAAAGCACATGATAACGTCACTTGAAGCGGACGTTCATGGTACATCCCACTTGGCAGTTAGACACTCAACACTAACACTCAGTTCAGGCTAAGGGATGACGATTTTGAAAGGTAAACGAATTGAGCATCGCCAAACGCAAATCGCTCCACAAAATTAATTTCTCCGCGATCCAACTGAGGTGGGTGCCGGCTGATAATTCGTGTGAAGTGTCAGCATGCTGAATGCAGTGAGGGTTTTCTAGAATGATTTCTCATACGTTGTTCCGACAGCGTCGCTAAAATTAATGCTGTTAGTATTGATACAGATCGTGTCGAAAATAATGTGAGAATATTAAAATTTAATCTTTGACGGAAAATTTAAAGTGAGTTCATTCACGTTGGCAAACGGAACAATCACCGAATACCGAGCCTGCGCTGTTCTCATTCATCACGCTTCAACTGAATTTGCAAAGACTAACATTTAAACAAATAATGATCAATGTAAAAATTTTTGCCTAAATTAAAGTTTTTAAGTGAAATTTTCTTGGGATTCTAGCACCATAAACAGTTTTCATACAAACATTTCAGTTTGGCGGAATAACAATAATAATAGGGAGCACCACAGCCCACACACAATTTGACCAACGTTCGAGAAATGAAACGAATTACTCATAGGCTACGGCGCTCTATTTAGTTCGTCGTGAATACGCTCACATGGATGGACCAAGTATACAAGTAACGAGGCAAATGAATCGGCGTCAGGGGCAGTTGCTCCTTAAGGGCACAGGGCGGCGCCCTCTCTTGAAAAACCAACTCGGAAAGAGTTGCAGAAAGTATTAAACTGGCAATAAATCGACTCTCGTTTAATTTGTGTGTACCCCCAGCGCAATATTGAGGACGAATTTAGGTTTATGTGCCCACTTAAGCGAAAGGTATATGTTTTTGGAATGGGCCGTATCGTGGACAATTGCGAGTCCGTCCGTAGCTGGTGCATGCGAGACAAAGGCAGCTTGGGGAAAAGGGCGGCTGCTGGGATTTGGGTAACAGTAGTGTGCTGATATTAGGGGTTTGTTCGACAGTCCGCGCTTATTAACCTAGCTAAGAATGCCGTCCCTTTCGTCTGATTTGTTTTGTTTGCTGGGAATTACTTTTTTAAAATCTCTTATTTTCACGCGAGCAGAATAATAGCTTCCTTTATCAACACAAAAGTTGTCTTAAAGATAAAAATCCCGATGCGAGCAAATCGACTATACACTACATGCTATAGCTTTCCTCGTTCAAGAAATATTTTGAAGAGGTAAAATGTACGTGACATTTCGGACATATTTGCCGCCCCTCCTAATTGCAACCCGCCGGCCGCCAGTGATCAACGTGCAATGGTCACGAGTGCAACAGCTCTGGCCATTACGGCCCACGTGTGAACATGGCCACGCCCGGCCGCGCGTGACGTAACTCATGACAGCGGCCAATCGATATTACTGCAAACGCTTTTATCTGAAATTAATTCTTATCGGCCCTCGGGGATTCTAGGTATCTTTCGTAGCCTGTCGGAAACATTTTGAATCTAGTCATTTTGTTGTTAAAATCTCCATTGCTTTTTTTAGGTAAACAATTATTTCTTATTTTCTGCAAGTATTGCGTACATTTAGTTGCAAGTTTTTATTTATACTATCTTTTTTTAATCGTATGCATGGGTACTTCCAGTTTAGAGGTTTTGTAAGTATTTTTTAATATTATAAAAATATATATTTTAATTTATTTTTCTGATTCCTCCTGTACTTATGAGTTTCGTGAAAAAGACAAGAGGTTTTCCGACCATATATTTTTGCGAATCAATAGTAAATAGGGGTCTAACGAGATCCCAGAGCTGCAGCTGAACGGACGATGAACGGGAAAGGGCGTCCGAAACCGTGGTCTAGCGCTGCTTAGCGGGAAATAAGGGGGACTAGGGGAGGGTCCGATCAGAAATGCTTTGCGGGGAAATATTAAATTGAAAAGATTTGGGGTCCAAAATGAAATCTCCACGAGAGGTAAGAATTAAGAAGGATTCTCCTCTTGTATTTCGAGTTTCCTGGCATCGTGATTACTTTGGTATTTAGTCCCATGATGCATCACGCGTTGCAGACGGAAGGTGGTGGTGTTCTCCCGCCGGTACGTGAGATTCAATGCCGACCTTCACATCTGTTTTCCTCTCCAGGCATCTCCCCAGCGGAACACCGCCTCAGCCAACACGAAGCTCCTGACTGGTCTCCCGATATACATGAGCGTATCGTTCATGAAAGCGCGCGCGCGTGTGTGTGTGGGGAGAGGAGGGACAGGGATGAAGAAGGAAAGATCGCGCAGTCCTAGCTCCGTTTGTTAGAGTACCTAGCTCCGGCATCTCCCTGTTATCGGTTCAAAAATCACAGAAAACTATCGATCAGAGCAGCCGATAGCTAGAACTATTTTCCTGACAGCTACTGAATTGCCCAAGCTAATATATATGGGCTCGTTTATGAGCTATTCGTACGACCAAGCTTTATAATTAGTGTCGAAAATCTGTCACAGGGGGATTCGAACCCTATAACTTCCCTGTCAGAGACGCTGCAGCAAGGATTATTTTATTGAGCTACATCAGCCCGTCCCCTATTCGTGAGCAGGAGAAATTCAACCAGCCGCTGATCGCGGGATAAGGATACAAAACTAGTGATGCTCAAAAGCACATATTTTCTCACAAGTTCCAATTTTTTTCTTTAATTTGTTTCCACAATTAAACTAGGGACGCTTTATATATTTCTAAATTTACAGTTTTCGAAAATGAGGCTCACACCATTCTTGGAAGCGTCCCTTGTTTAACCGTGGGGAAAAAAATGAAAGAAAAAATTTGGAACAGTCTTTGAGAAAAAATGTATTTTTAATTGCATTACTTTTCGAACAGAAATTACGGGGACGCGACCTATTTTTTCAAAACGTGTACACTAACATTTTTTAAAGAAGTGATTTATTTGAGAACATATTTTGTTTAAGGCAAACATTTCTATCTTCAATGTTCTAGTTTTCAAATGTGAACTCTTTGCAATTTTCGAAAATTCAGAGAAATCGTCGGAAACGAGACTAGCAAAATTTTTTTTTTACCATCCAGAGATACAGACTAAGAGAAAATTTAATGAAAAAATTTGGAGCCTTTTTTGAGAAAACAATTTTTTTAAAAGTTTCAAAATTCAGTATATATCATACAAAATTACGCGAAACCCACTCATATTTTCTAAAAATTGGCACAGGATATTATTTCAAGATCTGCCTATAAAGGACAGATTTTATGAAGGGGAATAATACCCATCTCCAATATTGTAGTTGTAGGACGCAGCCGAACAAAAAATTAACTTTTGCATTTTCAGAAAAATCGGCGATTTCAACGAAAATTAGACCTGCACCATTCTCCTTTCTCTGCGCCCTTTACACTAACAGAGGACAATGTTTAAAGGATAGCGTTGGTGGCACTGGTGCGACGTGGTGCAAGGCCTGGGAGAACGCTGGTAGGGCTTGCTTTGGTTCAAAATCATTTCATATGCATCGATATAGTTGCACTTTCTTGAATATTGAATGTTATTAAAAGGGATATGTTTATTTCTAATACAGTATATTGTAAGATGTTTTTCGATTATCTGGGCGTTGGGCAACCGCGCAACCTAAGCCCGAGCCGCTATTGCCATCAACAGGGTCGCTTTCACGAAGGACACTTCAATTAGTTTCCCCTATGCCACTGATTTTACTTTCTCACACAAAGAAAGTTATGTAATGCAGCACGCAAAAACGGTGAATTGTCGACAGAAAACTTTTTTCATAGGGCCTTGGTAACGAAAAAGCGGATAAATCTAGTTGCTAAATTTAGAAAAAAATCCTCTAACACAAAGTGTAGCCAGAATTCATGTGTTGTGGGTCCTTGATAGAGAAAAATAAAATGACGGCGAAATACGAGCGAGAAAGTACGTGCTGTTTTAGTTCTATTAGTTTATTAAGTCTTTATTCTGAAAGAACAGGCAATGGAGAATGATTTCGCAGAATAATTTGAGTTCTCCCAGCGTCCTTGAGATGTGGTACCTCACGCCTATTGTACTTTTTCGAATACCTAGTATAGAGAGTTATGAGATACTGCGGAAAATTGGTGACATTTAAATCGAAATACACATTTTGGGGTCCTCTGATACAGAAAAAGTATTTTTTGCAAGACATCTGCTTGGCCGTCTGTGAACAATACTAGCGTCTAAACCTACCATAGGATTTTTTCTAAAATTATTATTCCACAATTGATCTCACCCGACACGAGACCCTGCGAATTTTAAATGAATTATTTAATTTTGGGAATACTTCACATAAAGCTCTTGGAACTTTTTTGAATTGCCACGCACATACCCCTCCGAAGTTTCCAACATTGGATAAGTTTATTTTTTTGGACCCCTTTATGTAACTACATTACTGAAGATAGATATTTTTTAAGTTTCCGCAACATCCTATAATTTTCACTACACAAAAGTATGTATTCCATATATACTACGAATACGAGAAAGTAACTACTAGTGCAAATAAAATGACGCAGACTTTCTCGTACTAGTTGTCACACACCCTCCCCGGTGTCGTCGCTCGGCGTCTGAGAGACAGATCGGGCAGAGCGTAACGACATGAGCGCGGGCCCTCCCGCAAACCATTTATCCGAGCCCCGTTTATAACAGAGCAAAGCTAACACAAGTAGTGTTAGTACATTAAATAATAAAAATATCCCCTAAAACGGGCCCTCTTTTGTCTTCATTGCAGGCCCGAACGGTACGCCGCTGAAACCAGGGATTCCCGCGGTAAAGTACCCCGAATTCAGATTTAGCGATTTTCTCAGAGTAACACCCTTGTCTATTTATCAACTCTATTAGGAACATTTATTTTACTTATTTTGAAAATAATGTTTCCCTAGGTATAAAAATATTCCCTGATGCTTTCCCTCCCCTTGTTCAGTGTATAAAAAAAAAGCCGTCTAGCTCTACCGCCATCGGTACTTCTAAAAAACTTCGCTCTAGAACACGAGGAATCATTCACGATATTTCTGAATTTCTGACCAGTCACAGACTAGGATGTGGTGTGCTCTCCTAGAAACATTTGCGATTATCAGCAAAACAATATTATCTGTAGGGGCATTTCCACTGTGCACCGCCGATATTAGGGGTTCACACCAACGCGGTAAACAGCGCGAGTAATGCAAAACGGCCTGAGTCTCACCTCTCCTGTCGCGTGTTTGCGTGAGCGTGGAAGGTGTTTCACAATGCTGCGCCAACATCGGCCGCCATTCTCCTCTCCAGATCCGTCACCCCACTTCGAAGGAGTCTTCCTCCTCCCTTCCTCACGCGGCGCCTGGCGCGAGCGCTGTGATGCACACGGCGCCATCTCTTGTCGTGGAATGCGCACTGGCTGCACTTCAAGTTCCGTTTGTGAGGCGCTACTGTCGCAAAGAATTTCTATTTGTCTCGTGGATGCCCATAGTGACGCATCAGGCAACACCGAAAAATATGTGGAAAAACGAAAAATAGGAAATGTCTGCCCTCCTTCACTTACTTGAGTTTTTTCTCTCGCCTCTTTCTCACTCGTGGGTGGAAGAGTAGTCTTCTTTTCCCATTGTATAGAGACGTCCAGCACAATATATTGTAAACATTGCATGTATTTTACACTATATTCACAAGGTGTGTATGTATATTTATGCTCTATCTTCATAGTATGTGATAATGTAGCATTATATAAATGTGGTAAAACTGCATGCTAATAACAGCTGTTTCATTTTCCTTTGTCTCCCCCGTATAACAAAAAATAAATTTCAATTAGATTGTACCACGAAGTTATAAAATGTGATTATGTCACTGGATTTAATAAATATTTGACTACTTTACCTTTTTTGTCCTTCAATATATACGTAATTCCTATATTTTCGTAAAGTTTTAATACTTTTTTATAATTTGATAGTAAAAATATTACATTCTTTGCGACGATGATAAAATGTTAAAGTTTACAGAAAAACACAAGTTTTCAAATTAAATTTGTTCATTTCAAATTTCCCGGTTGGCTTCACGCGATTGGCCGTAGATTTCGTCTAAATCACGGAGGTTACAAATAAACCTTCACCAATTAGAATTGGGTGCCGTCTCTTTCCCATGCTCTGTGGCCCAGAGTAACATCACGTTGGGCGGGAAAGTGGGCGGTCAGCTCCGGAGTGCGTGCAAGCGTTTTATAGAGCGTAGTGAGTTTTTGGTGGTATTGGGCAAGATGCGTATTTCTTGTCAGGTTTATTTACAATGATTCTTTCTTCATTTTCATTTGTTTAGTTACTGACTGCACATATCCCTCACACATCTGTGACGCGGTTGGGCAGTCCCGGATGCAGATGGGGGGATGGGGCCATGCCCCCCCTCCCCAGGGTTAGAGTTTCGTTTGACACCTTCCTTATGTTGACAAAAATTTATTAAAATATTTATATATATTAGAGTTATGAAATTATTTTAAAAAATAATATCGTATAGTGTCTACACTCAAAACATTATATACAATATAATAATAAATTATTATTATTTAACAAAAATCTATGATGGCGCCCTTCAAGATGATCGGCTAAATCCACCCCAGCGGTCGGGCCAGGAATCCACTTCGGAGAAATGAACTCAATGATTTCGTTAATGCCCTCAGGCGGTGGCAGTGCCATCTTCATAGATGAGGCGTATAAAGCCTGGCCCTGTCAGCAGGTGCTCTGGGGGGATTGCTTTCGTGTCGAGGTCCCCCCTCCGGAAGCTGATGTAAATATTTGTTATTCATTACACACAAAATAAAACAGTTAAAATATGCACGATGAGGTAGGTCTAATTCAGAAGAATATATTGTACATAGAAAGACTAACAAGAGTGAAATACTGAGAAATTACTGCGACACTGCTGTTGTTTGAAAAAAGAGAAGAAAAAATTGAGAGAGGAGAACAGCTTTCAGGAGGGCTTTAGATGTACCCCGTTGGCTAGAGGGCGGAAAAGGTTCTACCAGCGTTTCCTTGCCGTCGTTAGTCCGTCATTGTCAAGTGCAGTCCGATAAACCAAGCACCCGGCCGTCGGCCCTCCGTAGAGATGATTGGCGGGGCCTTGTTGGCTGCAGCCTGCTAGTGGGAGAGATGATTCTATCAACCTCACCTCACCGTCATAGAACTGTCGTTGTCAACCGCTGCCCGACAGCACGGAGTGTGCTTGATTGTGGGCGAACCTGTACCAAGGCTAGAGGATAGTTAAAAAAATTGCAGAAATCAGGGTGAAAATACGCAAAAGGACTAAAAGAACAGGTGATTCTCAACGAGGAGAACACCAAACAGTGCGGAAAGATACCAAACGAACAATAGGAGTGGAACAGAACCAGCTGAGTAGAGCTGTGCGGGGCGTGCGATGCTCTGAAGATCGCCCCGTGCTGCGGACTGTTTCTGCCGCATTGGCGCGAGGGCGTCTTCGCGGTGCGTGAAGAGCGCTGCCCAGCGGAACGGAGCCAGAAATAAATACACATATGTTCATATTTTGATTCTTTCATTACAATGAATTCCGAACTCGATATATAATAAATATATGGTTATTTAAAAATATAAATGAACGTTACACCGTTATTCTTCATCTCCTCTTTAAATTTTCTGTGCTGAATTCGTATTTTCATGATTGAATTTCAATTTTCAAGCAACGTGTTAAAAATAGGTTATTTTGTGCCTAAAAATTGAGGTATTTTGGGTAATTCACGCCCACGTTGGTTCGGTATTTTACATAATTCAAGCTCGTTGGTTGCTATGCTCGTGAATGTTTTTCATGAAAATATTTTTTTTTTAAATTGACAATAAAGAACACTAGTGCATTTTTTCTCTTGAATCTCGGAGGTTTCATTATAAAAAGAAAGTTTGTGACAAAAATTTAAAAAAAAGAAACTGCAGTTGTGACTTTCTTATTATATTCTGTCTTTTTATGCTTCAGTTTTTTCGCCTGGAACTGATTAAAAATACTTTTGGTGTGTTATTCATAGAAAAAATTGACAAAAACATTAATTTACAAAACGAAATGTTAAATTTTTAAAATGTTTAATAGCGAAGAATGGAGAATATATTGTTCTCAAGAAAATGTGCGCGGATAATGCAAATTATTTACATTATTTTTAATGTAGTTTCTCAAAATCTGAACAGTTTTCGCAAACACGGCAAATGTGCTCAAAAATGCACATTTTCAGAAACGCTTAAAGGACTGATAGAGGTTCCAAATTTTTCAATAAAAATTTACATATTGAGCCAGATTTTACTATACTATCATATTCTTAGTCATAATGAGACCGAAAAATTGAGAAAATGTGAAACAATTATTTTTGATCGAAGGAACGTTTATAGAATGTCGGCATTTTGGAATCCTATATAAAAATTTGATTCATAATAAACTAGTCTAGTTTCCTTCACAATTTCAATTCCGGTATTATCTCACATTTTAAATGAAATTGATGCCGGAGAAAATCAAACACAACGTTAATTATTATTCTTTACAATAATGAAGATCAGGCTTGTCGACTGGCACAGTGACGTCACATGGGTAGTCATCGCGGAAAACTCATCTTTCGTCGGCTACTCACTGTCAGTACGTTTTTTTATCTTCTTTGTCGCTTCAATAATATTTTACAGAAATTAATTTTCGCAACACTTTGTTGCATTCTATTCAATTAACAGTCAATATTAGCTCAAAAGAGATGAACGACTTGAAGATTTTAAATTTAAAGTATCGCCATATATTTAAAATATTGAGCTTTTCTGAGAGGCACGTATCTTTGAGGCATACTAAATGATACTGCATGCAAAACACATTTTCAATATCAGGAAAATTAATTTCTTGTTAATCTTGATTTAAGAAGTTGTTTCTTAAGCACTTCAAGAGGTACATACGGTCAAAAGGAAAACGGAATTTTCTGTGAGATTCGCATAAGTTATTTCATGTTTTGGAGTATCGGAACATAATGAAATCGCTTTTCCGTTAACAAGATTGTTGTCAAAATCACTCTAAAACCAATATTTTCAAGCTCTACAATTATGATTTTGATATAATGGTTTAGCAACTCACCTGTCAATTTTCTGACTGGTAATATATGAACCACATCTTTATCTGAAGAAATCATACTAATTACCTTAAACACCCAAGCAGCTGATGAATTTTCCTTTTCATTTATGGCAGTTCCGACTATACTTCCACCTTTATAGTCAACATTTGCCTCCAAGAATATTTAATCCATTAAGAGTACTACAGTCTTGTCCTTTTCATTCAACAAACTCAATTTTCTTCCTATGTAGTATAACGCATGCTATGGATTTTTCTCCACTTTGGGGATACTGAATTTTGTCGAAAGCAATTTAATAGAAGTGCACGGCAACTTCACGTAACCCGAACGTCTAAACGTTTTTAAAAATTGTTACAAGTACTTCCCTGTAACAAAGTTGTTCTGCTACAAATATCTCCCAATGTTATTTTGGCACATACTTAAATCATAGATATTATTGCACAATGAAATAGATAAAAACTGTTCTCAAGAATTTCTATACACGACTTTCATAGTTCATACTGATTTATTCGCAGACCTCGCTTTTGAAACGATATAATGTTATGACTACAACGTGGATCACGAGAGAGTGGGTAATGGACTACAAGTAGTGACGTCAGAACCAAGATGGCCGCCTGCCTAAATACCTGATGTTTTAGATGGCATTGGCTTAAAGCGCATGCCGCGCGTTTAGTTCAAACGATCACCACCAACAATGGAAATATGCTGGATCCAGCAGAGGTTTTATTCTAATATATGCTCTGCTAAGACTCTAGAAAACGATTACTTCCTCGAAAGAATATTCCTCTCAAAACTTACGTATCAAAAGCTGTGACGTTGGGTGTTGCAAACGGAAGTAAGTAAAGTTCTTATACTACAAGCTTTTGCAGTAAAAACCAATGTATTGGTAAATAAAACTTAAGTTCTAGGTTTTCCTTGTAGTGAATACTTAATTCTGTAGTAAGAACTGATTTAGCATTTAAGCTAGCATTTAATTAAAATGGTGTGAATGAAAATGAGCTTTTGCTTCATTTCATGTGTGAAAACTTAAATTATCGACCACGGAAGTGATAGGGCTTAAGTTAGATTTTACTGTCATGAACAGCCAGTGTGGTTGTGTTCGAGACAACAGAAATTGTATACGCATGCATGCTTAAATATGCGTTTAAGAACATATAATTCTGTGATAATAATTGCGGATGAATCCCCCGAAAACGACTATTTCGATGAATCCTTCAAATACGACATATTTTGTATGCTTAACATTTCTCAAATTTCCTTATTTTTACTTTCTCGACCCTTTTTATGCTAGTGAAACCTTCATTCAGGAAAGGGAGAAAAATAGGATGTAATAATAAAACATCACATTGCTAAAATTATTAGTTGTTTATTTCAACTGAACTTGTTTTTAAAACGTTTCTGCATTAACATTGTCTTTATGTGGAAAAAAGCTTTAAAACCCGCAAAAATATGTTATACATCACAAGACGTGACTGAGTCGTATTTCAAACAAACAATATCACTCTCATTTAAGTTATTCATTTGTAATTGTTGTTACATGTATGTATGTATATATAATTAATAAT